GTCAGTTTTAATCATAATACACTGTATAAAACTCAGAAATGGCATAGCTAACACTGTGAGTCATCACATTTTCTTATAAAACAAAACAAAAAAACTGATAACACAAAGAAAAACAATAAAAAACTAAAAAGTAAATAATCGTATCCTCCTCCGGATGAAACAGAAAATCAAAAACTATAGCATGAAGGCTCCATACCTAAACACAATTCTGCAATTCTCATTCTTACTCTCTCACTTTACAAGTCTGTGACATTAAAGCAAATCAGAAATGTTTCCATAAGGGTCCCCCAAAATCAAGTTTTAAGCCACTGGGATTTGTGGATTACAAACAGATGTACATAAGATAAAGTAATAATCCTCCCTTTATATATTTTATCCCCCACATTTATTCTAAGTAATGCTAAGAGTTGTAATATTTGCAAAATTGACATAAAACCATTTTGACATATCAACAAAATACTTTTATCAACCTAGACACAAATCTGGACCACCTTAATCTTGAATCCTCTGCTCCGATTTCTCTTGTAATCAACAACTAAATATGACTTGGCAGTGAGCCAGCCACCAATCCATACTTTATATCAGGTAATTAAAAATACAGCGTTATGTAATCTTATTTAATGGTTACTTGGCTTGTATTGAAAATCATCCAAACCAATACTGGAGACTTGGATTAAATTATAATGCGCAGGACATTTCTAAAGATGTTTTTTAGTAAGAGTCAGCACATCCCCTACTAGCAAATATAACATAAAACATACAACACTACTTTCATCTCCAATTAATCTCCTTGGCAAGAACTGCCATGTCAATTCACCCTACAGGCATAAGGGGGTGGGGGGTCAGGAGTGTGATAAAGTGTATTTTCTTTGAGTTTTAACATCAAATAAACGTTAACCATTAATTTTATTAGAGAAACAAATTCAAAGGGCGGGCGTAGTGGCTCACGCCTATAATCCAGCACTTTGAGAGGTCGAGGTGGGCAGATCATGAGGTCAGAAGTTCGAGACCAGCCTGGCCAACATAGTGAAACCCCGTCTCTACTAAAATTACAAAAATTAGCCTGGCATGGTGTTGCATGCCTACAGTCCCAGCTACTTGGAAGGCTGAGGCAGGGGAATCACTCAAACCCAGGAGGTAGAGGTTGCAGTGAGCTGAGACAGAGCCACTGCACTCCAGTTTGAGCAACAGAGCGAGGCTCCATCTCAAAAAATAAACAAATATTCAAGAAACAAATTCAGTATTTAGGAGGTGGTGGAGGAGAGCCACTTATCCTGGGAAAATGAAAATAAAATCAGCAATTAATGCCCACCATGAAACACAAGTCTGGAAAAAATATAAAAGCTAATGTATACTAGACAGAATTATATTTCTTATTGTCATCCTAGCTCAAGTTCTCAAAGACTATTAGGAAAAGAGTAGTAATTCAGTTAGGAAGCTGATCAATCTTTATGAATATTGAATTTTTAAAAAACGACTAAACCTCATCTATAAACTGTTTCATTATCATAATGCATTGATTATTAAACTAATATACACAGGAGGGCCTCAATTCAAAAGTGCCTCTCGGCCTGAACATTAAAATCCTGAAAGATAAATCTACCATGAATGTTTGCTTCTCAAATAAGGCAAATACAGACAGAAACTTTTTGTAAAAATCAGGATAAACTTCCTAAAGGATATACATCATTTCCCATACATTTAAGTCAACTGGAAACAATCATACTAATTACATTGATTTCTGCAGAGTTTTAAGTTAGCAAGTGAGAAGTATTTCATTCCAACTTTTTGGGAAGGCAGAATAAGAAAGCTCAATGGCTTCAGGGACAGACAACTTGAGAATTCAAATTAAATCTCACTTGCCCACAAGCTTAGATAGCTGGGATCCTCAGCTCCCTCCCTGAAAAATGAAGACATGAACATCTTCCATACCGGGATGCAAGTGTGAGGATTAAACTAGCGCCTTGGAAACTTTAAAATGTTATGCAAACTTAAGGCCTTGTTAGAGTTCAGAGATACCATAAAATCTATCTATTACACGGCATGCTAAGGTTTGCAGCGCTGACCCACTCTACAATTTAGTGCCGAAATAGTAACTCCAATGTGACTAACTGCCGAAAACATAGTTGCATTAGAGGCAAACACAAATAAAACTCAATAAGAAGAAAAAGCTTTCATATAGCCAATAAGATGGTCAGATTTAAAAATTAGAGCTTCCTCACAATCATGTAATGTCAGACTTAAGACACTTGTAAATTTGGAGTTGCATAACAGAGCATAATTAATATTTAAAATGATAAAGCTTTGCATTCTGAATATCAGCCTGTGATTTACGAGAAAAATGTTTCAGTCCTAAGTAATCTAAATCAACAGTTAAGACAAGCATCTGAGCAGCACCTCCTCTTTCCTTCACCTCCTCTTTTCCTTCCTCACATATGAGAACTACATTCTTACAAGAATTACTTTTATGAAAAGTAAGGTTATCGAGTTTAACACCTAAAAAAAAACTAAATGGAAACATTTTCCCAACAAATATCTGTTTCAAGTAACTGGAAGCAATGAACAGTAGTAAAAACACAGAATCCAAAAAATTTTGGATGTTTTAGCAACACAATACTATGGCAACATGGCAGAGAAAATAATTCTGACTTTTAAAATAAGATAACACACATACTTTTAGTTTAACTGTTTTTTAATTGAGTACAACCTAACTTTGATTCAGCTTCTTTATTTGGAAAAATGCACTTGAGTTCACACTCCGGAATATTTCCAATGCCAGGGATCTCATGCAATATACAAAGAAATTTCTCTCAGAGATGACAGCCCAGCAGGCAATAAAAGATATATGTAAATCATCAGGCACAAGGAGTACAAACTCAACTGCAGAACTGTTCAGAGGGCACAGACATCAAACTTAAATTCTCTTCCTTGATTTAGGAATGCATGCCCATTACTTTTTCAAGAGTCCATTTTATTAAAGGAATAAAAATAAGCCTGCAATTAAAATAAAATGGGGGAGCTCCATAAGCCCATTTCTGTTCAACAATTAAAACATTCTTAAATTCTTGGAGACAGTAAGAGTCTCTCCAGCTCCATCAGTGGACCACACACACACCCTACTCTGAAGAACTGCCTGAAACAGGCAAATACTGGAGGTCACTGTTTTAAAATATAGGTATCTATATACAAATAGAATATGTCTGCCTCATCTTTCACTTCCAACAATAAAAGAGCCAGGGCGAGCATTAAGAGCAGCAGCCCTGATTCATCTAGGGAACCACAGAGTTTCAGTGCCCAGTAATTCATGCAAAAGGTAACAGATCTGACCAGATCGTGTTGCTGTCATTTCCTAGAAAAAAAAGGCAGACCAGTGGCCCCCACACCCATCTTCATCTGAAACACATATTCCAGGAAGGGTAGGACACTGCTCCTGGGAAGGAAGGCTTAATTTACCGGGCATCCCAGCGGATGATTCAGGAAGCCACAGGAAGAGAAGGCCAGGGGAATACGGTCCCGGGTAGGCATGCCTCCAGAAACCCCCGTATCCCTGTCCCGCGGTACTTCCCAGGACCTTTCACATCCTGAGCTGGCTGGAGTCGAGTGAAAACGGCAAAGACTCTTTCATCACCGCTCCGAACCTCAAGCCCGCCACCAATGAGGGTCACCCAACCCGACGCCCCCAGGAAGGGTGCTCTTTTGCCGGCCTCTTCTCCCCTCCTGACTTCTCCAAGGGCCAGCCTGCAAGGCTTGGCATGGACTGCCAACCCCTGGGGAGGGCTGGCTGCCCCCCCCCCCCAGTGCTGCTGGTGCCTGGACACAGGAGAGACAAAGGGATGGGAGGGAAACTGGGCTCCTCCCCTGGGACCACCGAGCTCTTCTCCTCTCAGGTGCTGGGGTCTGACCCCAACCCTCTTCCAAGGTCCCCAAACTTCGCTAACAATCCAAGCACCTGTTCCCTTCGCCTCTTCTGCATTTGAGCCCAAGTCCTTCCATTTTCCTCCAGCCTCTTCTCCAGTACCTTAGACAAACCAAACACCCTACTTCCCCAAGTCCAACACGCTCCCCTTCCACGAGATAATTCAACCTTGTCCCCAACAAAGCCCCCAATGGTCACTGTTCCCCACCCAGAAGTTTCCCATGGGTGTCCCTGAGTCCCCAAAGATTTCCTTCAAGTCTCACCCATGAGCCCCAGCCTTCTTCCTTTCCAAGCCCCCAAAATTCACATCTGGGTCTTGCCCCAGGTGTCCCACAGCCTCCCAGGTCCCCGCGCAAACGCCCCCGGGGGCCGCCCGGGCCTCTGTCTCCGCCTCGTCCGCTGACAGCAGCGGGCACGGCGGCGTCCCCGGACCCCGCGTTTCCACCCGGCCCCCAACCGCCGCGGGCAGGCAGTTAACGGTCGGCGCCTCACCTTGGTTCACCAGGCGCAGGGCGTGCGTGAAGGAGGGGTCCAGGGAGTCCTTCTCCGCCATCAGCTCAGGCAGGTACTTCTCCTCCATGCTCGCCGGCCGCCGGGCCCGGGACGCGGACTCCAGGCGCACGGGCGGCGGCGCCCGGCAACCCCCGACCCCGCCCGCGCCCCCCGCGGCGCGAACCTGGGGGCCAGACGCGGCGGCGGCGGCCAAGCCGGGCGGTCGGCTGGGAGGCGGTGGCGGTGGCGGTGGCGGCGGCCCGGGGGCGGGAACCGGCCGCTCAGCCCCTATCCCCGGTGGCCGCCGAGTGCCCAGCGCCGGCGACCCCCGCGCTCCGGGCGCGGGTGGAGGACGAGCGGGCGAGGGCGGCGCGGTTAGGCGAGCCCTCGGGCCGGGCGGACAACGTGCTTGGCGACCCTGAGGCAGTCCACGGCGAGCCCCGCCAGCCCCGCCAGCCCCGCCAGCCCCGCCCGCCCCCCCCGGAACCAGAGCTGCCGCCGCCCCGCCCCGCTCCACGCCCGCCGCCACGCCCCCGCCCCCGCCCCGCCGCGCCTGCGCACTGCGCCCACCGCCCCGCCGCGCGCAGCCTCGTGAGGACGCTCCCGGCTGCGAGCCCGCCGGGATCAGCTGGGCGCTTGCCAGTAGGGGCGAGTCTAAGGGCCCCTCCCCCGCGCCCTGCGCCCACCTCTGGCCCTGAGGGTCGAGTGGGGAGCCCCACGACGCTCTTACAGCCTTCCAGATGCACGGGCTGGGAAACTGGGGCTCAGAGAGGTCAAGTGGCTTGCCCAAGGTCACCCAGCGAGTGATGTGGGCAGAAGGTACCAGGGCCGGGCTGGGAAGGGCGCCCGAGTTCGCCCCAGCCGCGCTCTGCGGAAAGGCAGGGGGGCCGCCCGCCCTGCTCCCTGAAGCTCCCTGGACTTCTCTAAGTTACGTCGCGTTGCTGTCCCCTCCATTTACAAGAGAGTAAGTCAGGGCGCCGTCCTTCGCCGCGCCTGAGCTCAGAGCGCCAGCCCCCTGAGACCCTCCAGCTCCGAGGTCGGTTACGTAAAAGCGCGTGCCCTTCTGGCCGTCTTTGTCATCCCGACTTGCTCCTTGGTTGCCATTCTCGTAGGTCATACACCGGCTGTGCCTGGACGCAGATGAGTGAGCCGCGTCTGAGCTCATCCGCTCCCGGGGCGAGGCCCTGGGACGCCCCGCCTGTCGGTGGCAATGCCCTCTGTCCCCTTCCGCCCACCCCCAACCGCCAGCAAATGCTCTCCCAGCCCATTTCAGATTTCCCGAGGCGTGTGGAATAAACGTCCCCCAGGAGGCCAAGGACTCCAGTCCTTGTCCTGCCATGTTTCCTGCCTTTTAACACCCAGCTCAAGTTCCGGCCTCAATGTCACCTTCCCTGGCAGCCTCTCAGGACCTCCCTGGCAAAGCCAGTCATTTCTCAGTGTCCCCCCAGCTTGGTCAGAGGTCATTCACAAACAGCTGTAATTCTATTTTCCGTGGGCCATGAGCGTCTTAGGGACAGAACTTGAGTTTTGTTTTTGAGGGGGAAGGTTCCCAGCCTGTGGTACAGGGGGCAGGTATGGGGGTTACCAGAAATGTCCCTTGAAGGAATAAGTCAGTGGCATGCCACTTTCAGCCAGTGGCCCAAGGACAATCCCCACAGTCCTCCAGGCAGTCCCCGCACTCCCCAAGGGGAGTGGGAGGTGGCAGAAGTCTTGCAAGCTCTAAGTCCCAGACCCCAGTACCCAACTGCCCTCACTTGCAAGAACCCAGTGCTCCCCGGGGAAGGTGCCATTTCAGAGTCCCCAGTAAGAGTCTTCCTCATGTCTCTCTTTAGTCTAAACTTGCAAGAGGCAGAAAAATGACACAGTTAAAAGCAAGGCCTCTGGGGTTCAACAGCCCAGATTTGGAATCGTGGCTCTGCTGCTCACTCGCTGAGACCTTGAGCCAGTTTCCTCATCTCGGGATCCTCATCTGTCAAGTGGCAATGACAACCAAACCGATTTCCTAAGAAGTTCACAAGGATTAAATGTGTTAACTCTTAATGAAATACCCAAAACAGCATTCCACATATCCTAAATGCTGAGCTAATCTTTGCTTTGCGTTTTTCCCTGCTGCAGGACCATCCTCTGGGCCTTCTGGGCATCCTGAGCCTCCCTCGCCTTCCCTTCAGCTGTAGCTCCCAGGGACACTGGGCAAACACCCATCTGTGGAATCCTCGCTGCCGGAAACAGTGCTTCCCCACGGGCCGACTAAGTGAAGGACCTGGGGCCCAGAGTCAGGCTTGTAGGCTGCTTGTGGCTGCTTTTCTCAGTCCCGGGTCTGTGACTGGCCTCTCATCCCCAGAAACAAAAGGGCACTTCCCAAACCACCCTCACCCAGAAGGGAAGGAGTACGGATGGCTATATCCCTGGCTTCTACCCGCCTCGATATGCCACTTGGTTAATTAACCTGGAGGCTGAGCTTCTCAGTCCCCACCCCCAAAACCTGAGTTCTGCCAGTAGTACTGTGGGTCAACAGGAGGGACTTATGGGACAATGTCTTTTCCTTTTACAACTGAAGGGAAGCACACACTTCTGGCTTATACTCCTGTGCCACAGGACTTACATTCAAGGGTGGGATTCCCTAACAGCTGCTTGTAAAGGGGGAAAGAGGGATGGAGAGTATCTGGGATGAGCACAGAAGAGGAGAAGGGGGGCCTGGATGCCCAGAGGCTTCATCGGAACATTTAGACGCTCTCTATTCTAACAGCTCTTCTCCTTCTGTGTCTTCCATTCAGACCATCTGCCCCAGTGACAGTCCAGACCTTGAAGACTCACTGTTTTTATTAAGCACCGATGAAGGGTCAGCCCTGTGTTTACAACTTTGCATTAGCTATAGTTCTCTCAACACCCTATAGGGAAAATTCTATTTATCATCACTTACAAAGAAGGAAACTGAGGCCCGGAGCAGTTTAATACCACCCTGCGTAAGGTTCCACAGCTGTCAGCGGGGGATCCCAGGCCAGCCTGACTCTCTGACCCTTCTTTCTCTCCCTTCCTGGTTCTGCCTTCCCAGGTAGCAGTCTCGGACACTCCTGACTGGCTCTCTGTCCCGCCCCGATCTGAGCTGGCAGAATCAGTCTACCAGCAGCTGGGGAGGAGGGCTATGCACTGAGAAACTGACAGCAAGGGTACTGAATCTTCTGCTCCAGACCCTCCTTCTCCGAGAAGCTTCCAAGAGGGCAGGTGCCAAGCACTGGGAGTGTTCATGCAGGGTCCTCCAGGGAGGAGGGAGATGAATGTTTCTGTGAGATGCTCAGGAAATTGTCCCCACCCACCAACCTGGCTGAGCTATTGGCTGTGGAGCACCTCCATGCCATGCTGCATACTCTGCTGATCTTCATGAGATCACCATCCTGCAGGCATTAACACTCAGATACTTTTGAAAAGGAGAAATCAGGTCTTGGGAAAGGTGGTGATTTTCCCGCAAGCAGCTGCAGATGGTACTCACACTCAGGTCTTTCAGCTTCCAGGTCAAAATACTGGTGTATTTTCTGTAGAATACACCAGTACTCACTGAGCACATACTATGTGCAGAGACTGCTCTGGGTCCAGGGGTCATAGCCATGGGCAGGATGGACTTCTCCAAAGGCCCTTAAGGCCAAGGCTCTTGGGGCTGCTCACTGCATCTGCAGAGTTTGTGGTTACACTGACCAGATGCTCGGTCTAGACTGGAAGCCCCATGCTGCAATAAAGAACTGTGGTTGCTCTTTCTTTTCACGTCTAGGTCTGGGACTAGCCTCTCAGCCCCAAGACAGAAGGGTACTTCCCAGACTCACTTCACCCAGTGACACTGGGCCATCTCAGAAAACACAGCAAGTCCCTGCAGCCCCAGCTCCCTGCCATGGCACTGTCTGCCAGAATCCACACCTGCCTCCTCTTTCCCCACCTGCTGACTCCTGGTGAGAGACAGATGTGTCCCTGACCTTTATGACACTAACGGCAGTAAGTCAGACAGCCACAGCAACTTAATGTCATCAGACGAGACACAATGTAGGGAGTGTGTCTATGAGGAAGTTTTCATATTTGCACAGAACTGCTGCTCACACTACCAGCTTCCTCTTCCTCTTGTTTAAGAGTGGTGAATCCTATCCCAGTTACTCCAAAACTCTGCAGTGCCATACTGTGAAGTCCTAATCTGACTGCACCGAAGGCCAGAGAAACCTCAGCTTGGCCCCCAGTTGTCCTGCTTACTGTCCTCCTCACAGGATCATTCCGAGGTTGAAACTGAAGCATTAAGCTCACGCAGGTATCATGTGCATTTTAAAGCTTTTCCACTCTCTGTTGTCTCTACTCTACCAGCATTGTTTGTGTTCCTGTTCACGCGTAACACAGCTGATCCTGGTCATCTGTGGACCCCTTTGCCTTCACACTGTCCTCAGAGCCTGCTCAGCTGCCCAACCCCAGTGCCTGGTCCAGCGGTCAGTTCACAGCAAGCACTCAACGTTCATTCTGGATGCATGTCTTCTGAAATGCAGTCCTGGAACAGCACTGCTACCCAGCCACCTGAGCTCAATGCGTTTGTCATGTAAGACAGGCACCAAAAGCTGGCACAAACTTACCTAGGAATCAGTCATTTATGTGTCTCACACACACACACACACACACACACACCACCCAATGTGAGGGTGGATGGAATCAGACCTTCAATCCCAGTCACTCACATACATGAAGACACCTATCCTTCTGTCTCTGTACCCATCTGTCCTACAAATCTATACCCTCCTCTCAGTATTTGGTAGATGGAAACTTCAGTTTCTCTCGCCAGATCTCTTCTTTGACGAAAGAATCCAGTCCTCCTCGATGTCTTTCTGCAGCTTAAAAAAAAAAAAACACACACACACACAGATATTGTGCACACACCCCCTAGTGGCCACATGTGGAAACACATGCCCCACAAAGTTCGCATTGGGGTTGATAACCACCAGGGTTTGAGAAGGAAAGCCCAGATAGCAATTCCATCCTAGGAAGGTGGATGGTGAAAGATGATTTTATGTGGAAGACAGTAAAAAGGAAAAAGACAAAGAAAAGGGGGCAGGAAAGAAAAATGTGATAGAGAAAAAGAAGACAGGAGAACAAAAGGAGGATTAAAGAGAGAAGAGAAGAGAAGAAAATAAGGGAAGCTTAAAGGAGGGATGTTTCTCAGTGTTAAGCCTTTCTCTATTTCAAATATAGGCACAAAAGGTAATGTAAAATAACAGTAATTGGTGTGTCCAGGGTCATCTGGCCATCCTGTAGCACAGGCAGGTGGGGACAGACGAGCCAAGGATGAGAGGGGACAGGGCCTGTATCTGACCCCATCACTGCCTGACGTGGTAATATTTTCAAAATCAAAAGCTTTCTCTGCCTCTATTTCTGAGCTTGTAAAGGGTAGCTAATAGCGGCTGTTCTTTTCCTATTTTATTGAGGCCTGATGAGAACAGTAAAGATTTGCAGAGAAAACCCTGAAAAGTGCTCTCAGCTCTTGGACATAACCATCACAGAAATGTGTTTTATTATTTTTCTCAATGCAGCAAAAACCCTCTATCCTTTGCTTCCTGGTCTAAAAGATTCTATGTGATGCTGGAGTGCCCAGAGTACTTGCTGTATTTCAACAATGCGTCAAGTCATCACCACCTCAAGTGCTTTGGAAGACGCTGTGATTTGGAAAGCACTGTCAAAATGTAAAACATTATTGCCACAGTAGTAAAAATATCTGTGTCCATCTCCTAACCCACTATTTCTTGTCAGGATGCATAGAGATACACACAAAGCAATTCCATTCACATTAGCAGAATGTTTTACAGCAGAATTGCACATATCTGAGTTTGGCAACATAATCAGAAACAAAATATTTCTGTCAGTGTCAAGTTACCCTTAGTGTCTGAACAGCTACCAAGGGGGTGATAAAGTGTTTAGTATCCACTGCAAATGTGAACATCCGGGGCTCATATAAAAACGCCAACCTGGGCTCGTGTTTTTCTTAAGAAAGGAAGAAACAAACTTTACAAAAATGGCTGTGGAAAAAGAATGGACATAAAGCTGAGATTGTGTACTTATGTTAGATCATCAAATTACAAGAGAAACATTTCTTCTCAAAACCAAAGTAGGCTTTTGTTGGTGACCCAACTGCAGACTCATTGAAAGTCTCTGTAGATTTCATTCTTTGGTATCTCTCTAGCATAGCACTAGCCTTCCAACTAATACCAGCCTCACCATGTCTGGATTTATACCAGGGTGACACAGAATGCCTCAAAATCCATTGCTTGTTGTTAATGGCGGGACGAGGGTTACAGGTTATACCTGGACAACCTTGATCGACTTCATCATGCCTCTGATGACAGCTGGCATATGTGAACACTCCAGCTTCCTCTGGCAAATGTTATCCTGAGAGCAAATTCTCTCTTGTCTTCATAGCCATACTTGTTGGTCTGCAAGCAGCAGCAACTTAGATGTACAAACTCATGATCTGTGCACAGTTCAACAGTAAGTTACCCCTGAGCATATGGCGGTTGAGGCCATAAGCTGAGGAGTCTGACGCTGCTGTGGGCCTGCCCCAAATAATCGGGAAGGCTTGGGCAAAGCAGTGCCTTTGGGCCTCTTTTTCTGCACTTGCAAAATGAAGGCAATATCACCCCCTTCCCTGCAAACAGTTACTTTAGGACCTCCATGAGCTGAATATATTTAAAGTGCTTATCACAGAGCCTGGCACTCCAGGGGCACAGAATGGCTGCAGCATCAGTAGAGCAACACCATCCAAATGTGAGCCACATGTGTAGTTTTAAATTTTCTAGAAGCCAGTTGACAATGTATAAAGAGACAGATGAAGTTAGTTTCAATATGATTATTTATTTAATCCAATATATCAAGAATACCATTTCAATATGTAATCAATAACTTTAAAATATTAATGAAATTTTACATTCTTTTTTATTTTGACTAAGTCGTTGAAATCTGGTGTGTAGTTTGCACCTATAGTACATCTCAATCAAAAGTAAAATTTTCAACAGCTAAGGTAAAATGTGGTTCTATCCAAACTATAAAATTGTGTTAATGGAAAAATACTTTACACTGCTTCTATTGTAAAATTTAACTTCAATTAATTAAAATAACATTAAAACCAGTTACTTACTCATGAGAGCCCCAATTCAAATCCTTATTAGCCACATGTGGCTGGTGGCTGTGGTGTCTTCATTCCACCCTGGGCATCATGGCCTGATTCCAGGCAGGAATAAGGAAAAGGGAAAGAGCTAAAGGGGGAATTCTCAGCACCTGTTGAGTCTGCTCAGCTGGTAGGGTACCTTGTTGGAAGCCTCATAAAATGGCTTTTGCTGAAGTATCATTAACCAGACTGTATCACACATGGATGCCCTTATTTGCAAGGGACAGAGCTGGTAACTATGGTGTTTTCCCTGGGCACGTTGCATCATCCAACAAACGTAGAGTTCCTCAGTCAGGAATAGAGGAAGATTGAAATTTAGGAAGCAACTGGCAGCCTCTGTCAGAGCTGGCCTCTGCAATTATGACCACTTCAACTGCTGGTGCTATTACTATATAACTACCATCATAATCTCAGATGATCTGGAGGAGGCACTCACAATCTTGAAAGGAATAAAACAATAGAGTTGTTCATTTTATGCTGATTCAAGAAAACAAAATTCCCTTTACTGCATCAGATCTGACAATTCAGCCAGGTATGACCCAGGGAATCAGAAGAGCCAGGAAAGGGAGGGTAGGAGGACTGGACTGCCTTTCTGAGTGGACTCTGGATACTAGGAAGAAGTAGAGTCTTCTAGGCAGAACAAGGTGTGTTGTGAGCAGGAAATCCCTCCTTTGTGGGGCTGAGGGAGAAGCTGTGGCTCAGTTAGTGCTGGATGGGGACTAGCTGTAAGCAACCAGGAGGGAGACTAGCTGGAAGGCAGGTGTGTGCCCCCTACTGTGGCCCTTTCTTTCTTACGTGCAGCAAAGATGTTTCCATGGGCTCAGCTGTAGCTTGGAGGTCTTTGTTGAGATGCTGACTTCCTGTGCTCTCATTTCCTCACTATGCCTCTGCTCATTGCTAAGCAGGAACAGATGCACTGTGAACCTCAGTATTATCTAGATAGGGCCTCGTTTCTTCTTGGAGAGTTGCTTAAAAACCTAAGCCTCAAGGTGTGATCAATATTAAGACCCTTTCATAGGCCAATTGTGAAGGTGAGATGAACAAATGCATGCAAAATCACTTCAGCCCCCAGCACAGTTTTTTTTTTTAATAAACTTTTATTCCAAGTTTTTACTTATGCTAGAGTGAGTTTTGTGTTTTATTTCATGTATCCTATAATTTCATGTATTGGTCAGAATCCTGGCAGGAAGCAAATGGTGCACTCAAAAGGAGTCATCAAAGAAAGTGTCACAAAGAGCTATTTACAAGGTGTGGGAAGGGCAAAGAGACACAAAGGGAAGAGGTTAGCAGTCTAGGCCACCAGTGCCTGAAGAGGCCAGGGCAGAGTAGATGTCAGAACCTGACTGAGCTGTGGAGGTGGGAGCAGGCCTCCAGCAGGAGCTGTGGCTGAATATGGAAGACACCATCACTGCTGAACAGTGGCAGGTCCAGAAGGAGCCAAGGCACTGAGCTCCCTGGCCTCACTCTTCCACCCTCTGATCTACTGCGAATGCCTCCCACTGGTTGAGTTGGAACTGAAGCCAGGGGCAGGGGAGACCGACTGATGTATCCCATAAGGTAAATTTCTCAGGATAGAGGCTGAGGTTGAAAAAGCTGGAGGATAGATCTAGAGGAGGCAAAGAAGACCAAACCCCTTTGCAATGTGCTGTAGTAAATAATTTTACCTTAAATATCTGAAACTAGCTGAGTGGATTTCTACTCTGGTTAATTATGTTTTCTCCCTGAAGTATTTGGTATCTTCATTCAGGTTATGCATATACGTGGCTTCTGGTTGAGAAGCCAGAGACAGAGAGGTGTCCTGGTGCCACAGAAAGAGCACAGGTTCTGGGCTCTCCCGGAATTTCACACCATGCCTCTCTCATTAACTCATTATGTGATCTAGGACAAGTTAACAGGCCACTCTGAACCAAGCTCTCTAATCAGTATCATGGGAGGAAAAGTGGTCACCTCGCTGGGTAGTTGTGAACATCAAATAAAGTAGTGTGTCTTTCATGCCTCTGCTACCCTGTGGAAGCTGTAGACACAACGGCTAGGAGCTTGGATTCTCAAAGTAGAATCTGTGGGTTCAAATCCAAGCTCTGCTATTTTTAGGCTCTGTGTCCTTGGGCTAATTACTTAATCTTTTAGTATCTCAGTTTCTTTATCCATAAAACAGAGAAAAATTGTCCCCACCATGTAACGTGGTTGTGAGAATTAAATGTTCAATGTCATGAAAAGTGATTGGGACAGAGTGTGGCACTTGCCAACACTCAATGTCCCCAATTATATGTAAAGCACTGAGCCGCACACAGTGTGTACCCAATATCTATTGAATGCCCTTCTTTCCTTCAAGGAAAGTGTGAGGCTTGATCAGCACTAAGGGCGTGGACAGCGCCCTGTTGGACTCTCCCAGAGCGACTGCCCTGTTAGATCCAAGATAGGCAAGTGCTGGAGGCATCGGAGCAGGAACAAAGGATACACTAGGGCCCCTGGATGATGGCCCACAGTCCTCAGGTGAAGAGCTGCAGCCCCGACACTTCTGCCCAAGAGATAACTGGGATTCTTTGTCCAAGTATAGGGCTGCCTAGCATAGTAGTTAAGATCCTAATTTAAGGAGCCAGCTTCACTCTAGCGGGGTGATTCTGAGCTAGTTACTGAACATCTCTGTGCCTCAGTTTCCTCACTTGTACAAAGAGGATTACAAT